GTTAGCAATTAATGAGTTATTTTTCATTTTTTAAATTTTTATTCTTAAAAACAAATATTTATATTATGTCACTGAAAGGGTTTCCATGGTAGGGATGACTTCATTATCGCATTAGCAACCAGTTGAATCCTTCTTCAATGAGTCGAAATCCCCTTCACAGACAAATAAGGAAAAACTGTCAAAAGTGCTGCTGGTATTGGGGAAGCCTGGACAGATGTTTCTTCACCCACTGTTGGATCCCCTCTGTCTCCTCTGCCTTTGGCACAATAACTCCTGCTTGCTGAGCCTCTTTGAGGCCCTATTTCTTTTCTTCTTTTTTATTTGAATTACAAAATGATTGAATTACAAACAAGTTTGAATTACATGACAATCCCAGTTCCCTTCTAACTCCCTTCCTCCCCTACCAAACATCCAACTAATACCCTACCTATCTCATATTTTTTTTCTAATCTACACCTGACTCAAACTTTCTGCTCCCTCATGATCTCTGCATCCTTCCTCTTCTTCCCTTCTCATTCTCTAGTTCTCTCCCCCCTCTTCATATGCTCTCAATTGGCTCAGGTTATCATGACCCTTTCCCCTTCTCCAGGGGACAAAGTTTGTCTCTTTTAGGTTCCTCCTTGTTTACTAGTTTCTCTGGCAGTGTGGATTATAGGCTGGTAACCATTTCCTCTATGTCTAAAATACACATACAAGTGAGTACATATCATGTTTGTCTTTTTGTGATTGGGTTACCTCGCTCAGAATGGTTTCTTCGAGTTCCATCCATTTACCTGCAAATTTCAAGATTGCATTGTTTCTTTGTGCTGAGTAGTACTCCTTTGTGTAAATGTACCACATTTTCTCTATCCATTCTTTGGTAGAGGGGGATCTAGGCTGCTTCCAGTTTCTGTCTATTACTAAAAGTGCTGCTATGAACACCATTGAACAAATGTCTTTGTTGTATGAATGTGTTGTGTGAATGTTGTATGAATCTTCTTTTGGGTATATGCCTAGGATCGGAATTGTGGGATCTTGTGGTAGACTGATTCCCATTTTCTTACAGAGTCACCATACTGATTTCCAAAGAGGCTATACAAGTTGGCACTCCCACCAGCAGTGGAGAAGTGTTCCCCTTTCTCCACATCCTATCCAGCATAAACTGTCATTGGTGTTTTTGATTTTAGCCATTCTGACAGGAGTAAGAAGGTATCTCAGAGGTGTTTTGATTTGCATATCCCTGATGGCTAAGGATGTTGAACACTTTCGTATGTGTCTTTCAGCCATTTTAGATTCCTCTATTGAGAATTGTCTGATTAGTTCTGTATCCCACTTTTTAATTGGATTGTTTGGTGTTTTGAAGACTAGCTTCTTGAGTTCATTGTATATAATAGAGATCGCCCTCTGTCAGATGTGGGGTTGGTTTTACTTTTTTCTTCCATTTCTTTAAGGGATATTCCCACATTCTCTCTGAGGTCTTCTATCATTTTCATGAAGTTGTTTTCACAGTCATTCTCTTCTGCTTCATCTGCTTTGTGATGTTCAGGATTTGCTAATGAAGACTCCCTAGACTCTGGTGCTGTCATATTGTTTTTTCTGTGGTGAATGTTTTTTTTTATATTCTCTTATTCCCATCACTTCCTCGATTGGGTGTAGAAGGCGTCTATTCCTCTACTGGTTGATACTGGACCCAGGTTTCCTTCCATTGGGTGCAAGCATGTCTATACCCTGATGTCTCTCCTCATCCAGTGCAGGGTGGCAGGACTGGTACTGGGGTCTTGAAAGTCTCTGAGTGAGGTCGATCCCACAGGGCTGGGATCAGTAGTGAGCAGTGCCAGTGAGATCATTTATTTCTAACACTTCTAGTTAAAAACTCAGGAAATAAGCTATTTTTTAATGTAAAAGGAAAGTATATTATTATCGCTTCTTAATTGAAAACTCCCAGCTCAGGAAGGCACACCCTAAATCCGGGCACACCTCACCCTTGTACCCCCTATGCTCTATGCCGTTCACCTGCAGCTTGAGGTAAGTCTGGGAGCTGCTCTGCCCCCAATCTCCCCCATTACCTTCTGCTCGATTCCTCTTGAGATTCCCTCTGGTCAGGAGTGTACTCGCCCATATCAAAAGGCCCATGTTGAGTGCGGACGCACCTCACCCTTGCACGCCCAATGCCCTCTGACTTCGCCTGGCACTTGAGTTCCCCCACTGCTCTGTGCCTGCTGCCTGTGAGAGGGAGAGACCTCACCTGCACCCACTGGAAGAAGGGATGGGATGACTACAGAATAAGAACACTCTCAACAAAATAAAGACCAATATGACACCATCAGAATCTAGGGATTCCACACCAACACAGAGAATAAAGAAAAATTGACCTGAAAAATTATCTTATGGAGATGATAGAGACAATTAAGGAGGAAACAAGAAATTACCTGAAGAAATAGAAGGAAAAACAAGCAAAAAATTGCATGAAATGAAGGAAAAGAAAGGATTTTATTTTCCCTGTTACAGATATCTGCAATTGTGGACCCAGGTTAAGAAGAGTAAGTCCTACTTCTTCACTTTGGATCCAGGTTAACTTTCATGCTACCACAGTAGATATGTCAGAAGACTGGGCAGCAGAGAGATAGGGCTACGCAGAGATCAGTATCCAGAAATTCTCTTCTGTTGGACCATAATCAGCTTTAGTTTCTTACTTCAGGAAATGAGGGAAGCCATTAAAAGCAAAACCTTCTCATCAGGAGCCAGTACAATGAAAAATGATGTTTGAAAGTACTCATGAATGAAACTGACAAAGAAAGCAAAGATTACTTGTCTCCCTCTATTATGGTATCTGCTTTCTTATTTTCTTCTATTCTTACCCCTATTCAACTTTCTGCTCGCTCATGTCCTCCTCACCCCACCTCTTCTACCCTTCTCATTCTCCTTGCTCACCCCTTCCTACTGTGCTCCCTATTTGCTCACATAACATCAGAATATTGGACATTTTTGCATGCACTGGAAGGAAACTTCGGTCCCTTAATGACCTGGAGAGTAATAGATCCCTTCTACACCCAATAGAAGAAGGGATGGGAAGAAGACAATATAAAAACACATTCAACAACAGAAAAAGCAATGTGACAGCACCAGATTCTAGGGACTCCACACTAACAAGACCTGAATATCCAAATACAGATGAAACAGAGGAGAATGGCCGTAAAAACAACTTCATGAAAATGATAGAAGCCCTCAAAGATAATATGGAAAATTCCTTAAAAAATTGAAGAAATAAACAAAACAAAAAATACAAGAAACCAACAATTCTCTTAAAGAAAGCCAAGAAAAAATATTCAAACATATGAAGGAAAACGTTCAAACATGAAAAATTAAATACAGATGAGAAGCAAAACAAACACTGGGGTAAAAATAGAAAAGCTGTGTATATGATCAGGAACTATAGATGCAAGTATAACTACAGAATACAACACATGGAAGAGAGAATCTCAGGCATTGAAGATACACTAGGAGAAATAGAATCATCGATCAAAGAAAATGTTAAGGCACCCATTCCTAACACAAAATATCCAGGAAATATGGGATACCATGAAAAGGCCAAACCTAAAAATAATACGTATTGAAGAAGGTGAAAAAACCCAACTCAAAATGCAGAAAAGAGCTTCAACAAAATCATAGAAGAAAACTTTCCCAACCTAAAGAAAGACATTCCAATGAAAGTACAAGAAACCTAGAGCACACCAAATAGAGTGAAAACAAAGTACCATTGCCACATAAAAATTAAAACTCCAAACACACAGAAACAATATAAATAGCAAATAAGGAAAAACAACAATTAACATATAAAGGCAAACCTATTAGAATTCTACCTGACTTTTCCAAGGAAACACTGAAAGCCAGAAGGCCCTGGATAGATATTCTACCAACAATAAGATACCACGGATGCCAACCCAGATTACTGTACCCAGCAGAATTTTCAATCAATATAGATGCAGAAAACAAGGTATTCCATGATAAAACCAGATTTAAACAATGCATATCCACTAATTTACTCCTAATAATGTTTTGAAAGAAATACTCCAACCCAAGGAAATTAACTACAACCAAAAAACATATGCAATAGATAATCCCACTTTACCAACAACCAAAAGATAAATGGGGTAGAAATCCACACACAATTCCACGACTAACAACAAATCCAAAGCAAACAAGAATAAACAGTCAATAGTCATTAATATCCCTCAATATTAATGGTATTAACTCACCAATAAAACACACAGGCTAGTAGAAAGCCGCTTGGGAATAGAGTAGCCCTGAGCATTCTGTCTAAACTTCCACAGTCAATGGGAGCTGGATGGACAAAATTGGGTACTTCAAACAGAAAAACCATGGAATCCACAAACTGATCGTAAAATTTTTATTCACTTTATATTGCTTTTGGTTAACAGAGATTAACACCCATAGACACAAGAGGAGGACTTTACCCACCGTATCCCCAATTACAGATGTTTGAGAATTCACCCATGGATGCAGAGAGTTGAACTAAGAACTGTTCCTCTCCAGGAGCAACAATTCCTTTGGCCAACTGAGTCAACCCTCTAGTCCCCACACACTGAGTTTGCAGGGAAAAACTGTCTCCTTTCTCTTCTCTGTCTCTTGTAAGCAAACATGCATGTATGTTTCATCCTTTGCTTTCAATCCTTCATCATATAATCTGCTCAGTCTGGTCCAGACAGGTTCCTCCAAAGAAACCCTGCTGCCATGGGTTTGGGTGAAGCAACTGAATAGAATGCCAGTATCCAACTCATTGGATAGTAAGCAAACCAGTCCGGCAAAAGGGGATAGTATTGGGGAATCCACTGATCCCCATTCAACTCATTTAGAGGGGCATTATAGGGCTGAGCCCCCATGCTGTCTTTCCCCAGATACTCTGTATACACTAATGATGTACTGTGGTCTACACAGGTGGCCTGGTAACGAGGGTGGCTGCAGCTTCTGGAATACACCTGTAGTTCACAGCTGAGTGGATCCTATGATTGCTTGAAGCATTTGGGAGGGGGCCCCAGTAAAGACCTGTGAGCAGATGCCAAGGAGCTGAATGCTTCAGCCAACAAGTGGGGATGGGAGTCCACCATTTTCTTCCAGCTTGAGGTCTCAGAAACCTCAGAAGCATGAGCTGTGATGAAATCCAGTGCCTTGGTTTTCAACTGTCCTGCACTGTGGAGGTCAGCTAGGATCAGAGTGTGGGCTGCATTCTCCACAGAGAGGTCCCTGTAGAGGGCATCCTCACACATGACCTTCAAATGCTCCAGGCCATACTTGTCAGCAGCTGCCAGGACAGCATCTGCCTTGCTATGGAGGTCTGGTGCCTTCCCGGTGTAAATGAATTCCATCATGGCCTTGAAAACTTGCGGCTCCAGATCGAGGATATCAACGTGTTTTTTTCTGCTCTCCTCCATGTCATGTTCAAACATAGCTCTGAAAACTGGAGAGCGAGCTGCTAAGATGGCCTTGTGAGCTCCGAATACCTGGCCAGCTACCACTAGGCTGCAGTCTGTGAAGACAGAATTCTCCCACAGCTGTCCTAGGTCATCTGCCATCGTGCACCTGGGAACCAGGATACCTGGGACCTTGCTAGCCTTGGAGTTGATGAAGGAGTCTTGGACTGCCAGGTCCACATCGCATAAGACAGTGAGTTCATTGTCTGGGAGAAGCCAAGACTCAAGAACAAATCTCGATGGATGAACTTTTTGAATCCCCAGTGTTGATTTGGCGTGAACTTGAGGAAACCTGGGGTTATCATACCATTGGTTTTCTCTCCGTCGACACTCCTGATCCAAAACTGGAGCCTTGCCCTGTAGGGGAAGCTGTAGCCATGCCTTCTTAGAGGCTGGCTACAGGAGTACCTGACCAGGCTTGTGAGGGCGTGGTCAGAGTGAGTAGGGAGACTGCGTTTCAGTTTCGGTTTCTCTCTTTGCTTCTTGCTGTACAGACTACCACCACCTGGCTGGTTCGCTCTGTAAGTAAGGCTTTTCCCTATTAAATACCCTTATATTTCTACCTGACTCCATATTGGTAATTTCCTACTATATCTGGTTGTCAGAAACAGGATATTGGAAACCTACACCCCTTTTGGGACAGGCTGTGGGTTCCATTGGGCCGCAGCCTAGGCCCGGAAAGCGCCCTCTCTCCACAGGCGTTCCCGGCTAGCAGCTGACCCATTGCAGCTGAGCTGCTCAGAACCATCCACCCAGTTTCTAGGTGCCCAGAGGTGAGTAAGCCTCGGCTTTCAGCAGAGGCTTCCCCTGGCCTCTGCTGCAGGAAAGCCCCAGCCGAAAAGCCATATACTCTCTAAGATAAGCTCAGAATTGGTTTTCTCTCCGTCGACACTCCTGATCCAAAACTGGAGCCTTGCCCTGTAGGGGAAGCTGTAGCCATGCCTTCTTAGAGGCTGGCTACAGGAGTACCTGACCAGGCTTGTGAGGGGGGGGGCAGAGGGGGGAGGGGGGAGGACAGGCGGGGGGGGGGGGAAAAGGAGGAAGAGACAGGGTCTGAGGCTCTCAAATTGGCCTTCCTCTGCTTGTCCCTGGGATACATCCACTGGGCAGAGTATGCTAATCTGCCAATTCCCTGCCTATATGCCATAATGGCATTTAGCTTGCTGGTACAAATAATATTACTAGCCAGAGCACTCAGGAACAGGGATAAGGATAACCTCACCACCTACTTACAGGAAATAAAAGCTTTATGCAGTGAGGTTTTAGAGAAGAGATTAGGGTAGACAACAATTGTGCAGTAAGTGGAACAGAAATTGGATGATAAGCTTGGCTCTGTGTCCAATACGCTAAAGACAGAGCTGTGTGTTATACAAGATGAGATGGAGTGTATTTATGCTGTGCCTGAGGCCTTAGAGGCTAGGCTGTCAGAAGACCATGACCAGCTAAAGAGTATCTGTAGCCAGCTAGAAACTCAGAAAGGCGCTGTTACTCATCAACTAGATGCAACAGTGCAAAATACACAGCATAGCGTTGAAGAATTGGACAATGCCATTCAATCAGTTATTGAAGCATCCAAGGTAGCAGATAAGAAATTTGAGTCTAGATTTGAATGTTTGGAAGATAATTTACAGTACCGGGCTGACAGATTAGATAGTTCCATTCAGTCAATTGCTGAGGCCTCCAAATCAGCAAATCATGACCTGGAGTCTAGACTCCAATACCTAGAAGGCAATTTCCATGTCATCCAGATGCTGTCTAAGGAGCAGCGTATTAAAGACCTAGAGAAACATGTAGAGGAGCAGTTAGAGCAATTTACAGATTAGCTAACATGCTTGGAATACTTAATGATGCAGGAAGTTGAAACTTTTCATAAGGATATCATTACTAGGCTTAAAGATCATTGGGATGCCTCAGAGGCAGAATCACTCCAATCCAAGGCACCTACTCCACCCAGGCATCATGACTACTCTTCTAAGGTTCTTATAAGTGCACTATTAGTGTTCCCAGCTACCATGGTAGAAAAGCCAGCTTCTAAGAAACACCGTCAGGGACAGATGGCTTATGTATTGCAACCTATAGATGTGAAGGATCTTAAGAATATTAAAGAATCAGTTGTCTCATATAGTCTCCATAGCCCATATGTAAAACAGCTACTATATTCAAGGGCAACCTTGCACAGGGTGATGCCCATGAACTGGGAATGATTGGTAGCAGCTGTACTTGAGAATTCATGACAAATCCAGTGGAAGACGTTGGTCACGGAAGAGGTGAAACATAAAGAGGTCAAGGCATAAAGGACGGTTATTAAGCCCTCCGAGATAAGATTCTTGGTGAGGGTATTTATGCTAACCCACAGATTCAGTCTGAATATGACGACCATATTCTGTCCCTATGCAGGAAAGCAGCATTAACGCCTGGGATAAGGTTTGTGAGCCAGGAGAACGCCTAGAAGCTTATACCAGAATAGAACAGGGACCTACAGAACAGTTCCAGGACTTCTTACAAAGGTTAACTAGGGCAGTGGAATTACAGGTAACAGATCCATAAACAAGACAATCAATTATATATACATTAGCTTATAGAAATGCAAACCCAATATACAAAAGAATACTTTTGCCTTTAAAGATTGGATAAGCTCCGCTAGAAGAATGGGTTTTGTATGCAGCCAACATTGACTATAATGTGCAAGATACTGGAGCTTGGGTAGTAGAAGCCATCTTGAAAGGTTTAAAAAGGCAACAGGAGATTAAAAGTTCTAGAGGTGAGGACGCAAGGGCTTGGGAAGGAGAAGCACCTTACAGAGGTCAACATAGGTATCAAGAGGCTAGAGGTTACTACTACTATGAACCAGAACCTTGGGTAGGAAGAGCCTTCCCCATGAAGGCGCCAGGAAGCTAGATGTTTCAGCTGTGGTAGAATGGACATACTAAGAGAAATTGTAGACAAACGAATACTAACAATGCCTCATATGGAAGGCG